AGTTGCTTAGGGCCTTGCTAAATTACTGACGCTGGCTTTGAACTTTCAGTCCTCCTGCCTCAGCTGCCTAAGCCTCTGTGATTACAGGTGTGTGCCATTGTGTCTGTCTGTCTCTAAGAAATTTTTATTGATAAAAGAAATTTTTTATTTTCTTAACAATAATTTCAATGTGATTGAGCTATACCTGATAATTGAATGCGTTACCAATTTCACTAATGTTATTTTTAGAACTGACCTTAGTTGATTATAAAATAAAAGAGTTTAGAAAATGTTTTCATTGTTATTTCCTTTTGATAGTTTACTTATTCAAATTAATTATTTATCTTTTTAGGAAAATCAAATTGTGTGGATTTTATTATCAATTTTGGCATCTTTATTTATCTATTCATGATCTCACACTTTAAAAAATAATAAGTCAAATGAAAGGGGAAAAAAACCCTTCAGACTGGAAAAGAATGGAGACAACCACCTCTATTTGTAGATAATATTATTATTTATGAAATAATCAAAAGAAATCTGCAGAACCAAACAAACAATAGCCCTGAGCTATTATGGCATCTTCACTCTGCCTTGAGCCAAGAAGGTGTTGATATGGCATTGCACTGTGGCTCCTCCCACTCTGCACCACAAACAAACAACAACAACAAAAAAGAACTTGAATTAGTGAGTGAGTTGGGCCAAGTTACGGGATATAAAATCAACATACAAAAACCAATCCATTTTGGGCTGGGGTTGCGGTTCAGTGGTAAAGCCCTTGCTTTGCACACGTGAGGCACTTGGTTCCATCCTCAGCACCACATAAATAAATAATATTTATTTTATAATAAAATTATATGTTTATAGTAAAAACAAAGGTATTGTGTCCATGTTTAACTAAAAAAAATTTAAACAAAACCATCAATTCACATATACTAATAATGAACATGTGTAGAGCATTTATAACTGCTCCAGTGGAAATGAAAAACTTAGATATAAATCTAATAAAATATTTAGAAGATTCTTATGCTGAATATTACAAAATACTTATGAAAGAACTTAAAAAATATGTAGGAAAGACATACTCTATTCATGGATTTGTATACTCAACATGGAAAGATGTCACTTCTCTCAAAACTTGTCCCTTAAGGTTTAATGTGAGTTCCATCAAAATCCTAGCAGGATTCTTATTTTTAGACATAAACGGTCATTCTAAATTTTATATGGAAAGAAAAATGAGCTATAGTAGCTATAAACCGTGCTTAATCACATGAGAGGAATCACTTTACCTGATACCACAGAATACTACTCAGCGAAAAAACAAAATATTGATCCCTGTGACACTGTTGAAGGAGCTCAGGGAAATTATACTGAGTGAAAAGGACCAATCTCAAAAAGCAAAATGCTGCATGATTTCCTTTGTGTAGCATTCTTACAATGCCAGTATTTTAGAAATGGAGACTAGATAGTGTTTGACAGTCAGGGTTAGGGGAGGAGGAAAGTGATTGTGGCTAATGAATGAGTACTTTGAGGGCTCCTTGTGATGGAGTTATTCTGTATCTTCACTGTGATGGTGGTAGACATAGTACACAGATGTGACAAATTATAGAGTTGAACATATGCACATACATTATTTTACATAAAACTAATGGAATCTGAATAAAGTCAATGGATTTTACCAATGTTAATTTCCTGGTTATGACATTGTATTATAGTTATAAAATATGTTTTCCATTGGGGAACATTGCATAAAGAGTAAAGAGTATCTTCTGCATTATTTTCTACAGTTGTATGTAAATCTAGAATAAAGAAAAAGTTGAGACACTAATAAAATACTATTAATAAAAGTGCATTTTGTAAAATATTAGATCTAACATTGATGTTGTTCTTTTGTCTTTAATCTTTTAGTTAAGTGGTCCTTTAAGAGAAGACTGTGAGGGTCCAATCCTGAGGTATTATGGCATCTTCACTATGCCTTGAGCCAAGACGGTTTTGATCTGGCTTTGCACTGTGGCTTCTCCCACTCTGCACCACCTATGGGATCACTGCCTTCAGGGTCTAGGAATTCTCCTTTCTCATAGCGTTGGACTTGGGTGTAACACACATAAATCTGTTCTATATATACACACATACTTACATGTATATGTACATATATCTATATAGCATATACATATTCTATTATGCATTTATAAGAGTTATAAAGATTTTTAGCCTACTTTAAAAATTAATAATATTAAATATCATCTGGTGCTGACAAATAGACCTTTATAAAATTATTTTCTAAGGTAAAATTAGCATGGAAATATATATATACATATGTGTGTGTGTGTGTGTGTGTATACACACATATGTATATATCTCTAAAATAATTAGAAATTTACACAATGTCTATTATTTTGCTACTTTAAGAATGGTCTAAGAAATATTATTATTCATATACTGTATTTGTGTTAGAATTATTTTCTTTCAAGATTTCAATACTGGAAATAATTTTATATATATTAGTTCCCTTCCTCCTATTTATACTGTTATCCCTTCAATTCAGGCCTTGTTCCTACATGGATGGAGTAATGACCTCCTATTTTTCTTTTGCTCCAATTTATCCTACCATGGTCAAGATTGGCACCAAAAAGAAGGTTTTATGGGAAGTTCACTGGTCCGGGAAAAGGTGAGGGCCAGGGAAGCTGCAGGCAGGAAAGACAAGAACTACGCTAATAAGGGAAGCTGTAGGTGGGGGGGGGGGCTAGGCCATCTAAATTGCAGCTATGGACAGCAGGTTAGCTGAGCATCTGTCTGTTGTGGTTGGTCAGGGTTGACTGAGTTGACAGGAAAACTGCTTTCGCAGGTGGGAACCCATGGGTGGTTGGGGTCTGTTGCCATGTCAGCTTCTGATTGGCCATTTTGGGTCTCAGCCAGGTGGAAAGTCCCCACCCACAACCACTCTTAAAGGGGAGGGAGAAGGGAAGCCTGCCAACCCAACATCCTGGCCACTTTGATGTTGTAGGGCACCATTCTCATCTGGCTACTTCCTGCTGGTATGGTGCATTATTCAGGGAAGGTCAGAGTTGGGGGCTCATTGGGAAGGCGGCTGTTCGGGTAGAGGAGCATCTGATTTTCACCACCCGTGGGGCGAACAACCGAACCTAACCAAGCAATGAGGGCCAAGTTCCACCATCCTGGGAGGAGTGAGGTGGATGGCTGCTGCCTTCGTTTCAGTTCTTCACTCAGCCAATATAACACGATGCTTTCTTCTACTAGGGCTGGTCTCATTGATGTAATAGCAACATTCTTCCCTGAGGAATTGACCCTTACCACCTTTGTCAGCAGTGAGTAGGTCTAGGGCCCCCGCCTGTTTTGGAGAGTGACCCATTTAAGCATATTTGTCTTTGGAGAGATGCCAGGGAGTTGGCAGAGGCTTCGACTGCTAGCTGTAATTTTTCTTCAAGCTCTTTAGTTGTGGTTAAGCTATAGTCCAGTGCCCCAGACCTGATGCCTGAGGTGACCAGGGATGAGGCAAGGGAAATATCCATAAACATAAGAAGAAAGGCAGCCTGCTTGTATCTAGTGGATGGAGGCAGGATCAGTAAGAGAAACTCAGCCTGCTCATTGAGTGTTAGTTGAGAATCTAGGGTGACAGGGGTGCAGAAAGGCGTGGCCGTAGAGTAGTTGATGACTTTTGTCAACATCACATTACACTGAAAGAAAACTCTTAGGGGTGCCTGGACTTGAGAGGACACCATAATAGTCATGGTGTACCTGGAGGCGGCTTGGGAGGCATAGAAGATGGAAAAAAAATGTTGCTACTGTAGGGGATTGTCAAAGAGGGAGATCCCTGTCAGAGGTGGAGAGGCGTCACCCCTTTGCAAATTCTTTTTTTTTTTAATTTTTTTAATTTTTTAATTTTTATTTTTTATCTAATTATTTTCATTTTTTTTATTGGTTGTTCACAACATTACAAAGCTCTTGATATATTATATTTCATACATTAGATTGAAGTGGGTTATGAACTCCCAATTTTACCCCAAATGCAGATTGCAGAATCATGTCGGTTACACATCCACAATTTAACATAATGCCCAATTAGTAATTGTTGTATTCTGCTACCTTTCCTATCTCCTACTATGCCCCCTCCCTTCCCCTCCCATCTTCCTTCTCTACCCCCTCTACTGTAATTCATTACTCTCCTTGTTTATTTTCCCATTCCCCTTACAACCTCTTATGTGTAATTTTGTATAACAATGAGGGTCTCCCTTCATTTCCATGCAATATCCCTTTTCTCTCCCTTTCCCTCCCATCTCATGTCTCTGTTTAATGTTAGTCTTTTCTTCCTGCTCTTCCTCCCTGCTCTGTTCATAGTTGCTCTCATTATATCAAAGAATAAATTTATATTTATATCATTTATATCAAATTTCCCCTTTGCAAATTCTTAAGGGGAAAGGTCAGAGGGACAGCCATTAAGGTGGTGGTGGGGGGCGATCAAGAGCAGCACACAGAAAACAATCAGAAATATCATTGACCCCAGAGTAGTTTAGGAGTTGTAGCCCCTGATTTACAAGGGCCAGCCATGAAAATGGGTTTCCCTTCTTTACCTCATGTGCCCCTAGTGGTGAGTGAGGGCAGTTTCTTTCTGGAGGATTCCTTGGTGGAGCTGAGGAATCACTTGGGTATAGTTGTGGGAAATCTTAAAGAGTTCTGTAGGGGTAGGTGTCCCAGGACCAGTTTTAGGTGTACAGTTTTCCCTCTACTCCTGCTGCCCAGCGATTGTCCCAGGGATCTCTGATATTCAGGTGGGTCCTACCATGAGAATAGGTGGTAAAAATTGGATTTGTGGGGTCACTTTGACCTTGTGCATATTTCAGGAGGTGTGAGGGCATCCTCCATCAATATCTTGTTGGGACTTGCAGTACTGCTTGGTTGGGTCATAGAGAAAGGAGAGGAGAGGTGACTCTCTGCCAAGAAGGCAGATGCCAGTTAATAGAATGAAGATAGTTGCTTGGCAACCACCAGGTTGGCAATCACTGGTTCCTAATGTCCAGGTCTTACCATCCCAGGTCCCCAGTACCTGGCAACGCCAGCAGTAGGGATTAGGCAGCATTGTTTGTGTTGGGGGCACCTGTAAGAACAGACTCAAGAGGAGAAGAAGTGGAGGCCCACAGGTGATCTTGAGTTTATTGGGTTCCCACCAGTTGGGATGACCAGGACTTAGGGCATAGGGGAAGCTTGAGGTGAGACACATAATAGCAAGAGGAGTGACTTAGTAGTTTGGCTGCTGTAAGAGTGGTAAGAGTCACCATATGAGGTCCCATCCAACATGGTTGGAGTGACCAAGGATGGAATTCCTTTGAGAGGACAGAGTCTCCTGGTTTGAGCGGACCCTCAGAAGGCACTAGTTCTGTTGGGGCAGGAAGATGGTGGTCCATGTATTTCCAGAAGAGGTTGCAGAGCAAGGTGAGATAAGGTAGATATGAGGCCAGAAATGGAGGTTAGATGGGAAGGTTTTAATGAATCAGGAAGGGGCAACCACAGAATAGTTTGAAGGGGCTAAGCCCTGTGGGAGTTCTAGGGGCAGCTTGGATTCGGGTAAGAGCAAGGGGAAGCAGATTGGGCCAGGAGATTCGAAGCTCAATTGAGAATTTTGTAAGATGGTCCTTGAGGATCCTGTGGGTCCCCTCAACCTTACCCGAGGACTGCGACCCATAAAGAATATGAAGTTTTCAGGAGATGTTGAGGCTTTCTGAGATCTGTTGAATTATTTGAGAAGTGAAGGCAGAGCCACTATCTGACTGGATGGACATCAGAAAGCCAAACCTGGGGAGGATCTGCTCAATGAGGACTGAGGCCACATTGCCATTTCTCCAAAGGTCAGGAAAGCCTCAATCCATCCTGAAAAGGTATCAACCAGAGTGAGTAGGTATCAGAACTCTTTGTGTCTGGGCTTGTGAGTAAAATCTACCTGCCAATCTTCGCCTGGTTGGTGTTCTCGCGTCTGATGAGTGGGGACCTTGGCTCCAAGGCCCCCCAGAGGAACATATTGAGCATGTGGAGTGGACCTGTTGCATGAAGTCACTCATGCTTGGTAGGTAAAAGAGAGGTTGGAGGAACTGGAAGAGATGTCAGGGACCAATGTGAAGTGCATTGTGGATGTTGGAGAGGAGATCTTGGGCTTGGAGTTGTGGAAGGGCAATCTTGTCCCCCAGGTGAAAGAAAAGAGGAAGTAAGAATCTGGATGAAGCGGGACTGTGAAGAAGGTGTCTAGATCAAGAACTATGAAATGAGAGATTGAGGGTGGAAAGTGAGAGAGGAGGGTATGAGGGTTAGGGACCAATGGATGAAGGGAGAATAACTGAGTTGTTGACTAGACAGAGATCTTGTACTAAATGGTATATGCTCCTGACAGTTCACAGACAGGTAGAATCGGAGTGTGGCAGGGAGATTCTACGGGAATAAGGAAGTCTTGGTCTAGTAGTCGCTCAATGATGGGCTTGAGTCCCCTGTGGTGAGGGAGAGAAATGAGAAATTGAGGTCTAGAGGGGAACTTAGAGGTGGGCTTCAGCTGAATTTGCTCTAGTTGATGGTGTATTGCTATTACCGGTTTGGAGGTGTCCCAGACTTGGGGGTCTGTAAGGCCTGATGAGAGGAATGAGTGGTGGGAGGGAGGGTGTGTCTATAGCGGATTGAATTAAGGGGAGGACGAGTTGGGTCGTAGGAGCATGAGGTAAGAGCTGGATGGTAGCCCCCAAGAACTGGAGAACATCTTGTCCTAGGAGGGGAACTGGACAGGAAGGATAACCAAAAAAGAGCGGCTAAAAGGATGTCCCTTTAGGGAGCAGATCAGACTGGCTGTTTTCTTTGGGAAGAAATGTATTCCATCTATCCCCATGACAAAGATCTGGGAGGGATATAAAGGCCCAGAGTGGGCAGGCAAGATAGAACAGGTAGCCCCTTGTCCACAAGGAAGGTAATGGATTGACCCACTACCTGCAATGTTACCCTGGGCTTGGTGAGGGTTATGAGGGTCCTTGAGTCTGGGCTTCTTCAGTCATCAGCCAGTCCCAGAAGCTCAAGAGAAGGGACTGTCTGTTTAGCCATACTCTCACATTGAGGCACCGGGGAGGGACAGGCCAGGGGACAGTTACTCTTCCAATGTCTCAGCTGCTTGCAGCTGGGGCACAACCCAGAGGGGGGCCACGGGTTAGGACATGGTGGGCCCAGTGGCCTTCTTGTCTGCATTTGAAGCAGGCCTCAGGTAAGGCAGACTTCCGAGGACCCCTGGGAGCCCTGGCTGGGGCCTGGGCTGGCCGCAGAGCTGCAATCATGGCTTTTGTCTGGAGTGCCACCTTTTTCTGTAAGTGGGCTAGCCAGCTAAGTGCAGCTGTTTCCTCACAGGCATTATAAACTTTAAGGGCCATTTTTATCAGATCTCATATGGGGATTTGGGGACCGTCCTCAGCCTGCTTGCCTTTTTTTTCTAAAGAATGATCGCCCCAGAGGGAGATTGGGGGTCTAATCTAGTATAGAGAGTGAGGGCCTCCTTTAAGCAGTTAAGAAACATGGCAGGGTTCTCATCAGGCCCCTGAGTGACTTCTGTTAGTTGATTAAAATTAACAACTATTAGAAACTGCCTGCATGTCTGCCAGCAGACATCATGTCACACACACTCACACACACACACAGCAGTGTCAGCCCTGTTCTCCATTTTGATAGTTCCAATCAGGATTGGTGTTGGGGACCACGGCTGCACCTGTAGGCATGGTGTTGTTGGTCAAATGAACCTGGTCTGCATGGTCCTGTGCAGCTAGCCAGACTCAAGTGCATTCATCTGGGGTAAGGGTGGACGTAAGGATGACACGAACATTATGCTAAGTAAGGTCATTGGCTTGGGAAAGGTATTGAAATTCTTTGATATAGGTAATGAGTGGTAGTGGGGTCAGCAGAAAAAGAGCCTAAGTGTTTTCATTTGGTAGAGTCTTATAGAGAAAAAGGGACATGAACCGGAATGATGCCCTCAGATCCTGCCACTCTGTGGAGAGGACAGAGATGTTGAGGATATTGGGTCATCTGGCAAGACCTGGTATAGGCACTTACTGAGGAAGAGATAGAGGAGGGAGGTTGGTCTAACTCAGGTGGAGCCAGTTCAGGTTAAGAAGGAGGATCAGGACAGGAGAGTCTAGAGGATGGTAAGGAGAGTGTCTCAGGAAGTTCACTAAGTGGAGAGGGGTCAGGGTCAGAAGCAGAGGGGACTTGGAATGGAGGAGTTTCTTTACCGAGGAGGACTTGGAAAGTGGAGCAGGTAGAGCAGAAAGAGGGGCAGGAGCACAAGTCCCAAAAGGCCTCAACAGAAGGAACCTCTAACCACTTTTCCATCTATTGGCAGAAATTGTCCAAATCAGTGAGGATTTTAAAATCAAAAGTCCCCTCAAGAGGCCATTTAGAGCCATTATCTAACGTGTACTGTGGCCAGGCCACAGTGGAATAGTAAAGGAGCCGTTCGTTTACAGGCCTAAGTCCTAAGAGAGTCCCAATTTGGAAAAATTTATGTATTAACACCCTAAGGGAATTTTGGGGTCCAAAGCAGACTCTGTATTTCCCATGATGTTTCAACACCTGGGGTGAGCAGGGAGGAAAAAGGCGTCCCAATTACCTACTCTGCTCACCAGAGAACAGAGTAGCCTGGCCAGGGACTGAGATGTCTCTATAGTCCATTGGGGTCCCAACGGGTCAGGAGGGGAGTCTCTGATGCAGCCATGATTTACAGTCCCCAGCAATTAGGAGGGAGTTGAAAGATCAAAGAGAAAGGGACTTAGCCCATGTCTGCCAGATCAGATGAGGGCAAGTGGTCTAAAGATTCCTGGTCCTTCCAGTGGCGGACAGGAGCAACCTCAACCCCTAAAGGAAAGGCATGAACTCCACCTGGGTTTCAGCACCAAATGTAAAGCAGAAAGGGAGCTCAAGATCAGGAATCACAGAATAAGAACGAGGCCCCAAAAGGTGGTTTTATTTGGGGGGGCCAGCTCCTGGGAGAGGTTCACCAGTTTGCAAAAGAGTGAGGGTTGGGGAAGTCGCAGGTGGGAAAGGCAAGAACAGTGCTGATAAGGGAAGCTGGAGGTGGGAGGGCCTAGGCCATCTAAATCGCAGCTACCAACAGCAGGGCGGCTGAGCTGAGGTTAGGGGCATGGTGTCTGTCACGGGTTGGTCAGGGCTGACCGAGTTGACTGGGCAACTGCTTCTGCCTGTTCTGTGGTTGGGGTCCATTTCCATGTCATCTTCTGATTGGCCATTTGGGGTCTCTCTTCAGCCAGGAGGAAAGTCCCTGCCCACAGTCGCCATGAAAAGGGAGGGGTAAGAGAAGCCTGCTGACTCAACATCTACCATATTATTTTGCACAAAATATAGGAATATTAAGCATCTGCAGAATTGAACAGAAGCACCAGAATGATTTAAATCTAGCTACGGCCAGTTTGCCTTGGAATTAAAGCTAAAATTTTCTGTTGGGTATGTGGGAGACTCCCCACAGAAGTTAAGTTTCCGTCTTGTGAGACCATCAGGGACTCCTTTACCCCTCCCACTCCTCTCCAAAGAGCGCCAAATTCAAAAGTTCTCTCGACCAATCCCCAACACACAGTGTCCACTGGCCGTTTCTGAGTCACCCTGCCAGTTAGCACCTTCCATGTTGCTTATGCAAACATTCTTAAGCCAAAGCTCTCTGCCCTCTTCCTCTTCTTTCTCTTCTCTCTTTCTCATATTCTCTACTCTTCTCTTTCTCTCTGACTCTCCTTTTTTTTCCCTTTTGGGTAGCCCCCCAATAAAATCTCTTGGTTGAATCTCAGTCTCGGGTGAGTCACTTGCCTCTCATTTTCTTTTCTCATTGTATGGGTTCACTAAGATCAAGATATAGCATGGTTTTAAAGTTTGATAGGTGTGCTATGTTTCTGAACAGAGCACTGTGGCCTTGAAATCACATTGGCATTTGGAGTTATCTAAACCCAGAGATGCCAGACTACTTTTCCACCTGCTGTTCCAGCTGAGGTTTTGATGTTGGATTTTTAAGCTGAGCCAAACAGGTAGGGGAAATGCTTGCCAACCATCTGATACTGTAGATATTTAGGCCAGGTAGAAATTTGCTTTAAAAGTCAAATCAGTTTCAGTCACATCAACATGAGCTATCTTAAACATCTGCTTTGGAGACACTGCTTTATTATTAGTATCATCATCATTATTATTCAAAAAAAGTCACCTACCCTTTTATTACATTTTCAAACACATATGTGAAGATGGACACAGGGATGTGATGGCCAAAATGTTGATCTTGGACTAGGAGTAGTAGAAAAATAATAATTATAGTTTGTGTTCACTTTCCATCAATTACCTGAAACCTGGAGCTAGATTTCTTAAAAGAACATCAAGATGCTTATAAATTCCAATATAATTATGGTTCCAAGTGGAAATTTTGTCATAAAAATAGTATAACTTCTTCAATGTAAGTAAAGTGATCCTAATATCAATTCCTGCAATTTTTTTTTCTGAACTTTTACTTTTTAAAAATGTTTAGATTTTCTGTAGAATTTAAAGTGAGGCTAGATATGTGAGACTCAGAAGAGTTTGATTATGATGATGATCTCTCTCTCACACACACACACATATACACACATACACACAAAAACAAAGGCAGGTTAATTTGTAGTAGAAAAATATTCAGATATCCTTAAGAGGTCAGACAGTACCACATATGAGAACCATAGACGGCACTAGCCATCCATTCAACATAGCGCATTAAAAAGTGACTACAAAGTTATAGTCAAGGACATAGTTTGGCTAAATGGAAGCTTTACAATTTTCTAAACTACTCTTATCTAATTATTGCAATAGCTTACTTGAATGAAAAAATTCTGTTTTTCTTATCACAAACATCTACTGGGAAAACACCTGCTCTGTTTCAATAGTCTGCAATTTTAATAGAATCATACTGCAAAACTATCATGCCCAACGATGACTCTTTCCTTTTTATACAATTACACAGATGCTGCAATAAATGATCAACATTAATTTTGTGTTTAATGTCCAGGAGTAATGGGATTAAGTACAGTCAATATTCCCTGGTGATGAATTATCAAGCAAGCTGTTTAAAATTTCAAAATTTTTCTGATCAACATACTAGGCAAACACTCAATTTATGATCCTATATTTTGAATCAGAACACTGGAAGAATCAAATAAAATTAGAAAAATACCTGGATTTTCTTTTTTCACCTTTCCTAATGTCTTCTTTGTTATAGATAATTTTCTTTCCTTAGTGTGTTCATTAACAAATTACCACAAATACAATTTCAATCTTCAATGCACGCATGCAAGGAAAAAAAAGCCCAAACAAGAAATAAAGAGTGTTGTAGTTCACAGAAAGAATGCTTGCTTGTTATCTAAATGGGATTATATTTAATAGGCAATCAATGATCATTGTTATTGAGAATGAGTACTCAGTGATCCTACAAGCATAATGAACTTGATAAGTAAGAGTGGATTGCTTCATTCTCTCAAGAACTTAAAATTCACTTATTTTCTCCTTCTTAAGCTTTTTTTTTTTTTTTTTTTTTTTTTTAGTGGCTGTTATATGCCAGGTATTATCCCAGTTTTGAGGGGAAACAAGAATCTTTCTCTCTCAGGAGTTTGACAAGTCAAAGAGACACCAGTTTACCAGCTTTATTAATAAAGAGGCAGTGTGAGGAGAATGAAGCCAAGGGAAGGAACAGAGTTTAAGAGATTTGAGAGTATTTAGGATAAGCAAATAACAGAACCAACTTTCTTTTTTATACTGTTTGGTTCTCACTTTTAAAAAATGTTACATTTCGTGATCTCTTGAGTTAAAACACAAACGTAGTCGTCTGTTGTTTGTTTTACAGCAGTTTTATGAGGAACTGAAAGGACACTGGCTAGGGCTTTACACATGGGGATAAAGAAGTGGAGTAAATATATTTTGTGGGTTACACTTCATATTTGCAAGTCTTGAGTTCTGAGAAAACAAAGGGAGCATTACAAAATTATGAAAATACAAAATATATAAAATAGAATGCCTATTAACTCATTATGGAAACTTTTTTTTTTTTTTTTTTTTTTTGGTAACAAAGGATAATAGCTATGCCTACCCCTTCCAAGTCACTGGTCTTGGGCCATGAGGTGAATGAGTATAGTAAATATGTCAGAGGCAGTGACAAGTCATAAGGTAAATTTTATCCATGCAACAAATATATATTACTTGCCTCAGAATATATAATTCTCCTTTAATGTCAGAAGGTCTACAGATTTATGCTTCTTTTGTACATAGGTTATACACAATAGATTCTACAATCTCTGGCTCCTTTTTTCCCTAATTCCTACTGGATTCTTAGTCCATGGATTTTAAGTTCTCAAAGAAAGTGGTAGGTACATTATTAAAGATTCTCATATGGAAATGATTGAAGCCAAAGGAATGAGTTTTAAGACAGTTGAGTAGAAACAACTATAATAGCATTCTGATCAGTGTTTGTGTGATAAGTCTTTATAATAAGTGTATAGCATTCTGATAAGTCTTTGTATGTCATTATAATAAGTGTAACTTATTGTAAAATATATTTACTTATTGTAAAATATATTATATTTCTAAAACTTATTGTAAAATGCATTTTTGTTATGATTAGCTTAAAGCTATATAAGAGAGTTTACATCAACTTTTCTGATATAAGCTTTTCTTCACCTTTTTTTTTCTTCATTTCTGCTCTTTAGAATGAATCCCTTTCAAATATGGCTCATTCATTACATTTTGTTAGATATTATTCTTGATGTCACACTTCAGTTGCTCAAATATCTAGAAAAACCTTATTTTCCATGCCTAGATTTTATTGCTATTGCACTCATTTTAATTATACTTAGCCTCTGCATGTGGTGTTTGGATTTGGTGTGTCCTTTGAGTGTCATAGGTATTCTTTGACACTACTTAAATAAGTATGTTAACTAAAGAGTTGGCATGGGAACATGTAGTACTTGGGTGACATGAAATGCAATAAGCTGAATTGCTTTAAAGTGGATGGCTCAGTTCCTGCTTCTGCCCCAACACACTGTCTAAACTTGAAAAACTCTCCATGATTGTCTAGTTTTCAGTATTTTTATCCATAAAAGACCATATATTTCTCTATGCTTTTTTCAGTATCAAAAATATACATAGATTATGTTACAAATCATATGATGATGCAGGGGGTGCCAAAACTCCTCCTAGCGAATAGAGTTGCATGCTCCTCCTTTCTGGTTGCTTGTCAGAATCACCTAGAGAACTTTTAAAAAAATATATCCATATGTGGATATTGTGGATATTCTAATCCCACTATACTTTGAAGCATCCATTTGTAAGAATTTTTAAAGGGTGATTTTATGATTTATTTTTCTGAGTAAGAGATGTAGTGAGGGATATGAGAAAGTTTAAAACAGACTCAGAATGCATACCTTTAAGTAAATAAACTGGATAAAATTAGATTAACATTTCCCTCTATTAGTCCATGATTCCTTTTTATTACAGAATTAATAAGCTATGTTTTTAAGAAAAGTATGTCAGTTGGAACAAGCTCTTATTTCAAGTTAGTCAGTAACTTGACTAATATCTCCTAAATCTATTAGGAGATAACTGAGTCTTGAGATGCAAGAACTCTAAGGGAGACAGACCAATGGGAAGCAGTCTCCCCTTCTGATATGAATCTGGAGGAAATAAGTCTGCATGGACCCTCACACCAGCCAGAACTGCTGGGGTGAATTACCTCCTTGATTGGTAGCTAACTCAACTCCTTGCATTACTTCTTGAACAGATGCTGTGATTGAGGAACCACAGGAGAATAAGAATATCCCACCTGGGAATGTAGGAGGACACTACAGTTTTATTTTGTTGCCATCATCATCCCAAATAAATATTCTTTTATTTAAGGTTCCTGAGTGTCATGACAGCTTCAATGTTTTGAGTAATATTCGGCAAGTTGAGTTGACCTTTGCTAACCCTCAGAGGTCATTTAGAGCAATAACCATGTCCAATGTTAAAAGGAAATTTTTGAAATATTTATTTTACACAAAGATTATAAAATCCCACTTGGAAGGTGCAATATGCGCAGAAAGACAGAGCCAATTAAAAATTTATTTGCAAAGTTTTTCTTTAAAAAGACTAAGTGCCAGTATCCCTATAGTCCGCTCTTTTAAGGTCTTCAGGGAATAGTCCGAGAAGGGCAACAGCTGGGTCAAATGGTGGTTCTAGCAACACAATTCACAATAGCTAGACTGTAGAACCAACCCAGATGCCCTTCAATAGATGAATGGATAAAAAAAATGTGGCATTTATACACAATGGAGTATTACGCAGCACTAAAAAATGACAAAATCATGGCATTTGCAAGGAAATGGATAGCATTAGAGCGGATTATGCTAAGTGAAGCTAGCCAATCCCTAAAAAACAAATGCCAAATGTCTTCTTTGATATAATGAAAGCAACTAAGAACAGAGCAGGGAGGAAGAGCAGGAGGAAAAGATTAACATTAAACAGAGACATGAGGTGGGAGGGAAAGGGAGAGAAAAGGGAAATTGCATGGAAATGGAAGGAGACCCTCATTGTTATACAAAATTACATATAAGAGGTTGTAAGGGGAATGGGAAAAAAAACATTACAGTAGATGGGGTAGAGAGAGAAGATGGGAGGGGAGGGGAGGGGGGATAGTAGGGGATAGGAAAGGTAGCAGAATACAACAGTTACTAATATGGCATTATGTAAAAATGTGGATGTGTAACCGATGTGATTCTGCAGTCTGTATTTGGGGTAAAAATGGTAGTTCATAACCCACTTGAATCTAATATATGAAATATGATATGTCAAGAGCTTTGTAATGTTTTGAACAACCAATAAAAAATAAAAAGTAGAAAAAAGACTAAGTGCCAAAACTCCACTGAAATGAACAGGAAGGACAAGCATATTCACAGGACACACAAACACAAAAGTGAACATGTGTGCATGGGAACATACACACATCACAAGCTGTCCAAAAAGTAATGGTCTTCTAACAAAGAATAAATGAAGCACAAGAGAAATTGATGATTAGTCATCCGTATTCCATAAATGAGAAATGACTGGAAAGTTTTCTCCTTTTTATTTTGGAGACTTAATCATAAATTACCGCTTTTCATGTCTGCTCTGAGAGGATGATAAGAGCCTGGTAATGTTTAGCCATACAAGTTGATCCCCTCAAAGTAAAAGGCATCCATTAACATACCTGCTATGTCTCTATCCGCAAGACTATGATGGTAACATTTTATGAAGTACTGTTTGTTCATTTTTGGAGAAAATAAGTGAATGACAGCACATTATATGTCAACATTTTCCAAATAATTGCGTTTTACTTTAAAAGGGTGGATATACAAGTGATTGATTTGTAAATCATCTGTGGCAGGTGAACTGTGAAGGCATTTGTTTTTACTCTTGAATTCTGTTGAGTTCTGGAAGTATCCAGCAGAAACATCAATAGATTTCCTGGAGAGGCAACAGCTATGGGGTGTGCTGAACTTATTCAAAGAGTCAAACATTAGGGAGGACATGAAAATCAGGTTGAGCATAGATTTAACAAAGGTATACTAGTTAAATCTTGCTGTTTTGAGTTTTTGGGGTCGTTCTTTGATCAGGGTTTCTATCACCACCATTTTTGACTGAAACTTAAGCCCTACATGTCAATAATTCTCTTTGCTTTTACCTTTCTTTTACCTGTATTATCCTAGAATACCTACGTGTTGTTGTATTTAGATAGATATTTTACGAAAACTATTAAAAAAACCCAAGCATTTTGTAAATCATAGAGAGTAGGTTATTAAATGATAGCTATTTTGTTTAAAAAATATACAATGAATAACTCATTAAAGACTCCTATTGTCTGAATAAAAACCTTCATGTCTAAGACAAAAATAATTTTGCATAATTCAAAGAAATCCACAAGTCAGTTAAGATAAAATAATTATTTACTTAACTTTTATTCAAAATTAACACAGATTTAATTGCTGTATTTGTATAAATAACATAGTTTTGATTTAGTGTGACCTAGACTTCTAAGTACATTTTAAAAAATATAACATGACTAAAATTTATAATGGTCTGCTTCATGCTTAATTAGGAGGAAAGTAATATAAATTTACCAATCATAATTCTGCCCTGTATTGGATCATGCCCTAAGATTGAATGAGGTTATCTGTGTTTGATGTTTTTATCATAGAGAAACAGATGACATGATATGTGAATAGGCACTGGTTTTATGAAAGAAAATGTAGTGTTTGTTTTTTACTAACTTCAATATGAGATATGAACTAAAAATTGAAGGAGCTGGAAAAAATTAATATATTACCTTTAAGTATATATTTTTTAAAAAAATGTGTACTAAAATATATTTCTTGAGAGGAAAATTCCTCAATTGGTCACTCTATATTTGGAAAAATATTTTTGCCAATATTTTCACCTCTAAAGCTTTGACTCTGAATAGGTTGAAATGTATATGTTTCATTTTTAGGGAACACAAGGAACAAAACAAAGCCAACTACATTCAGGATTTCTCTAGTCCAGAAAGCCAGAAGGATTACAGGGAGGTTGATATTTGTCTGAACTGTGACTCTCAGGTGAGTGGACAAACCTCATGATGTGCACACCTGAACATAGAAGAAAAAGTATAGATATGATAAGTATCTGAGAATTATATCCTCACTGAAAGCTCAGGTCCAAGTAAGGCAAAATGCAAATAAAAAACTGTATATAGGTTTACATGAGAACGTGCTGGTAATGTAAGCATGATTCTGTTGTTTATAAACTAACAGTCAAAAATAGCTACTGACATCAGGGTAAAATTAATAGAGTGAGGTATTGTTATCTCATGAATTACTGATATAGATAAATTGAATGCATAAAAATTGTATGGCTTCATCTTATATCCCCTATTGAATGAAAGAGAAAAATAAATGCTATAAGATTTATGAATTCAGTCAATGAGAAGGGATAACACTAGGAATACCATTGAATATCATGCTTCTAGTCCTTCCAATTTTCACTTTTATAGGTCTAAAACCACCTGATCCCAGGTGGCACTGCTGTAGTCTTTTAAATGGATGTCCTTCCGTCTATGACTGAATACTATGGATGGTATTCAGGGTGGGACAGCTTTAATGGTGGAGTGAGGACCTCTGAAAATCCAATTCAAAAAGCAGCAAAGATGGCTGTAATCCCAGGGGCTAGGGAGGCTCAGGCAGGAGGACGGAGAGTTCAAAGACAGCCACAACAATGGTGAGGCCTTAAGCAACTCAGAGAGACCCTGTCCCTAAGTAAAGTACAAAATGGGGTTGGGGATGTGGCACACTGGTCGAGTGTCCCTGAGTTCAATCCCCAGTATCAAAAAACAAACAAACAAAAAGCAACAACAACAACAACAACAAAACAAAACAAAAACAGCAAATATAGAGGCAAAATTATCAAAAATCAGAACTCTGATATGACTTCACAGAAGATCATAGCCAAATAACTTTGTGTCTGTGCTTAAAGGTAAGGATCTTAAAGTGGAGAGATTATCCCAGATTATGAAACATAATAACCTGAGTCCTTCAAAGTGGAGATCCTTTGCCGGCCCTGGTCAGAGACACATGTGGGAAAAGCAAGAAGATATGTAAGTCCTTTGCTGGGTTTGAAGACAGAAGATGGGAGCCCAGAGTCAAGGAATGTGGGTCCTCCTTAAGAATCTGGGAAAATATAGACTCAGCTTGAAGGCCTCCAGCAAAGAATGCAGCCTTAAGAGATGGATTCAGAAAAGAATGTAGCCTTGTTGACTCCTTGATTTTAGCCTAGTGAGACTCACATCAGACTTCTCAGCACCGGAACAGTAAGCTAATAGTGGATTTCTGTGTTATGTTTAAAATGCTTTAATTTATGGTAATTTGTCATAGGATCAAGAGAAATCTAATATGTTCATGGATACACCTGGGCTTCATTATCCATCTCTCACTTATAATTCAGATATCTACTATTTTTCTTTATAACACTTCCTTCAGCTATTTTATTTTATTTTTTTTCAAGCTGAAAAGCTATGAATAGCATTGAATAGCATTAAGGCCTTCATTGGTCATTTTGTCTAGAGCTGCAACTGCCGACTCTGCCACTGCAAACAGTTTCTAGGCTGATTATTTGCTTTATTTGTTCTTTTACACTACATGGGTTCCTAAAATATGATGTATTCTCTTTCCTGATTTTGATTATTTGGGCCTTCACTTCCTGGAGAGCATCATTTTTATTCCCTACAACGTTACCTCCAGAACATTCTTAGTAGATGTTTACTGCATGGATGAATGCCAGCAGATGCTGCTGCTTTTTTTTACATTATTAACAAGCCATACTTAATACATTTACTTACTTTTTTGTCAGTCTTTTCTGGGTATGAGACTCATGAATGCATAAAATTTATCTCCTTCTCAAGTAGAAATGTCTCAAAAAATAGTCTTCACTTCAAAGAACCAGGGGAAGAAACTTCTTGAAAATCCTGATACTGTCTTTATAGAGATGTAAGCATATACAACCACTGAGATACAGTTTATGGAGAATTTATAGATACCCTGAAGCTCATTCCTAAGGGCTGCGTGGGTGTGCAGATCAGAAACAAGCACTTCCTATTTGTGAGTGTCTTTTACCACACTGAGGGTCTGGCTTCACTTTTGGGAACTTAAAAATAGAATTTGTATTACAACTTAACAATTGAAGACAGCATTAAATTAAAAATTCATGAGCCTGTGAAACTTGGAGATCTTTTTAAAAATTAAAGAAATATGTGTGTTTTGACCAATCCTTTTTGCCTTATGTGAATGTTAAAACTCATGTCCATTTTTTTGTAAAGGTGATTCAATTAAGCTTCTTTTTTATGAATTAAGGTTTATTTCTGTACTTCTTTTCATCTACTAGCTAAAATTTAAATGTATATTGTTATAGAAGATATATCCACTTTAAACATGATTATCGTGTAATTATGGGATAGAATTGAGAAATAATTTGTAGAATTTTTACCATTTATCAGACAACAGAACTTAACAGCTACAAAATTATCAGATTAAAAGATTTCAATAAGAATCCTTATGAGGGGCAGGGTTGTAGCTCTGTTGTAGAGTGCTTACTTAGCATGTGTGAGGCACTGGGTTTGATTCTCAGCACCACATATAAATAAATAAAAATAAAGTTCTATCAACAACTAAACACATTAAAAAAATCCTTCTGAAATGCAAGTTGTCTTAGATTGACTTTCTTAGGATCAGAAATTTATAGGATAAGTTAATTTATATGATAATCTTTAGTAATTTGAATGTGAAGAAATGGTAAAGATGAGATTTTTATATTATCACTTAATTTTTACAACAAACATGACAATTAATTAAAATCATCAAAATTTCCTCACCAAACCATATTTACTAGCTATGTAATTTAAACATGACAAGAAATATAATGCATAACAAAATTACTTTTTGCTGATCTCATTAAAGACATCTTAGCAGAAGATGTTTCTAGCTATGTATGTGTACTGGAGTTATTACTTCTTAAACCCCTAACAATTTTGGGACACTAATTACAGTGCTTTTTTCTCTAGCATGACACTATGTTAGGCACTTCATGTATCTAAAGTTAATATTATTGTCCTTACTTTACAGATCAGAAAATGAGGATCATTTGGTTTCAAAAACTTGTCCAAATTTATACAGCTTGAAGTGGCACAGTTGTTGCCCTAGCCTTTCTGGTTTTATTGCCAAAACCTTCAGATTATCTCCGCAGACCAAAGATACCATTTTCCTCCTAGCAGATCTTGTCAGGACTTTGCCTTATGAAATGCTTTACAGTGCTTTTTCCATTGGTCTGAATTGTACTACACCAGAATCAGGCAGAGCCCCTGATAAACATGAGTTACAATGCTGGTAGGATATCATACATCACAATCCAAAAACTTGATTTTTTAAATTATTTTGTGCAGTTTTTTTCAGAATGAGCATATTTTCCTCAAAGTTTTTGAAATGATGAAACTTGAGAGTCCCCACTACTTTCATGACCTTCTGAGGAGGTATAGAAACCTCAAACTTACAATACCAAACTATGGCCGGTGCTAAAACTAAGCAGTGTTGCTTTTTGTGTTCAAATTTGGAGCCCAAAAAACCCATAAAAAACAAAATATTACATCCCGCTGTTACAACCCTGTTGGAACCTTTCAGTAAATAAATATTTCCATCCAGTAAATATTTCTATTTTTGCCAAAATTCAAAGCCTAAATATTAGGAATATAATAATAAGCACATCAGATCCATATTTTCTGATTACTTAAACACTAATATAAGTGAGAGTCTCAAATCAAATAGGATAAAATATACAATTATACTCTGTCATGTGTTATAAGAAAAGATCTCAGATAATAGACAATAGGGGACTTATGCTAGACTGTAGGTCAGTGAACTCTTCCCTCAATAAAGGGGACATTTAGGATAAACTGAGTGTATGGGGTAGTCTAGGAAAGGGACTCAAGCTCTGAGGCTAGAAAGGACACTGGCATCTGAGGAGGTGTAAGAACAGTAGAGCTAAAATCTAAAAGGCAAAGGGAAAATTGCCATGAGTTAAAATGAGAAAGGAAAGGCCTTATAGGCTAGTTTAAAACAATTGAAATTTAGACTAAGAGCAATGCAAAGTCACAGAATTATTTTAAGTAGGAAAATAACTTGATTATTTTTGCATTTTTATGAAACTACAATTTATTTCTCTTGAAAACTTTTTTTTAAAAATTTTTTTGGCCAGGCAGATAAAAAAGAAATTTGACGAAAAACATTTGATTCAAATAACCTAGTTACATGAAGGCAAAAAAGAGTGTTGGTTCACAAATACGTATCTTTCTTACCGTTACTGGGTCCAAAATGAATTTCAAGTTTTAATATTCCAGAAAGTATGCGAATAAACACGCCCTTGTAAGTTCGCATAATTACAAGCACATTCCCAGTATCAGAGAATTTCTAATTTAAGTACAATGCCTTCTATGTTTGGTACTGTACTACTGAGCAGGATGCTTTTGAATGTTTCCCATAATGAAATTCAGAGCTTCGGTTGGCATCTTGTTCTCTCTTTGTTTTCAGTCACGTGATGCCACCACCAAATGTTTTAAGTCATCAGGCAAATATGTTGTACTGCATGAAAGGGCACCAGGGCCAGGCAGGACAGGCATGAGTATTCTGTGATGCAATCATCAACTTAATTTTTCTTTAAAGCAATCCTTGTTTTATATTAATGAAGTGAGAAGGAAAAAAGTAGCTCTTTCTCTTTCTCCCCTTGTTCATACCCCTCCTTATTTAGAAGGAAAGGACAAATGTAGCTACTTAGGAAAAAATTTATTCCAAAATATTTCATAGATGCTAAATTTGTGAAAACTATTACTGGTATGGAGAAATGCTTAATAATGAAATTTTGCCAGTCTAATGAATTAATTCACTACAAAGCTGAGGGATATAGTGTTCTTCAGAAAAAGGAGGCTTAAAATCATGAATTTATTGCATATTTCAAAAGAGTAAAGGTTGTAGGTCCAATGTTCCTACACTCTCTATATTTTCTATATTCAGGGATCTTTTA